ACTAGGACAACTTATTCAGTCTATCCATGAGTCACAAGCTTGCAGTTGCAGTTGCAGTTGCAAAACCAATTCTGCTCCAGTTCCGACAACGATGAGGTGAAGCTGAAACTTGAACCATGAGAGCGCTTTAGTTCCCCCTCAATGCAAGTGTCTGATTTATCAAAACCAACAACCTGAAACGAAGAAATGATATTTATAGTTTGATTTGGATGTGGATGCATTCTCTATTCTCTTATTCAATGGCCAAACTTGAATTAAAACATGAAAAATCCAAACTTTTAATATTTTGAAGTAAATGGTAAAATGATTTAAAAATATTAAAAGGGTAGTTTTGATATTTTCAAAAATTTAAGTCACGCATATCGTTATGTGATGCAAATAACTAATGAGCTGTTAACGGCCGGTACTAAACTGACAGTTATCGAGAATTCAAGTGTTCAAATGGCATGTTTTGAAATTCAGGTACTAAAGTGAGACTAGACCCGAGGTACATATTACTAAGTCGAATATAACATCTTGATTCAAACGTTTGGTTTGAGACGCCTTTGTATCCATTAGAAATACAAAGCCATAAGGCTGCGTTTGGAAACGATGCAAATATATAGAGTATAAAGCGGTTTATATAAATTGTAAAATTGGGTTAATTTTGTATTGACAAATTTAACTTCTTACCAAACAGACTTTTAGCTTTAATGGATGCAAATATGAATTCCAATAAAGCATATGCTTTTTTTTTTTATCAAAAGCCCACTTGAATGCAAATTTACTTTTTTTTTTATTAATGTACTTTTACATCTTATTATCAATATAAATATGCATTGGTTTGTCATTTGTCAATGCATAAATGTAATGTTGCCAAACAATAGCAAAAGTAAACCACAGTGCAAATTTACCTTGAACCGGGATTTACACTCCATTTGCATTGTTTCCAAACGCAGCCTAAGTCATTTGATTAGAGCCATTAAGGTTCTATTTGATATCACTAGTACCATTTTGGGCTCAAACGTTTAAAGAGTCAAGGGCATTTCATGTTAAAATACTTTGACATGATACTTGTTTGATTGGTATTTATGCTAATGCATTGAATAATTGTTTTGAGCAACATTGTATTTGATATTTGCATTAGTACCTAAAACTTTTAAATGAAATGTTTATATTCATTGTGAAACTACTCTATATACTTATTTTCATCATTAATTAAGAATCATCATCAATTCATCATCCATGCTTTATCCCAACTACATGGGATTTGATCAATTATCCTGTTTCATAAGTTTGTTTTGAGTTGGGATTTTCTCCCAACAAAACTTGCCCCAATATGCTTCCAACATAAGGTTGTGTTTGGTACCATTGGCACTTCTATGCTTGCAATGTTTTAGGTTGATTAATATAAATCTTATGAGAATATATATATATATATATTTTTTTTTTCTACTACAAATGCTTTGAGTTATCAATGCAACACTGGTCACCATTGTTTCTTCTAAAGGGAATGTCAAATTTGGTGTTTCTACTATAAATGCCAATACCTAATTCAATTATTAACCTTCATTTGCACATCTCACCATAAGACTAAGACTCACCATGTCTAAAATGTGTGGACACAAATCATGTTGGAACGATTTTTTGTTAGAAACAGATCCAACTTCATTCCTTTTTGCTTAATGTCAAAATGGTTAAAATTTAGAAGATAAATGCTTTATGATGATTATCTCATTATTAACATGTAGGTGCAGATTTGATAGAGCCCGGATCTTTTGCAAGCAAAAGCTAGCTCCACTCACATGGTTCTAGAAGTATAGAATTAGAGAAAAGAACATTTGTTTAAGAGGTGGATTTATCATTATGTTTGGTTTGAAGGAAAGGTTTCCCTACCTTCCCTTCTTTTCCCTACTTTTTCCTTCAAGCCAAACACAGCCTAAAAAAAAAAACAAAAGTGTCTCCATCTTTGCTGCACCAGAATATATCTCTACACCGAAAAACTTTGGCTGTTTAGAAGAAATAGTATAGGGAGTTGGCTGTTTTGAGAGCCTCTGGTGCAATATTTACAATCAATATTTCAATGATGAAAAATAGTCAAAGTTATACTTTTTCGAAGAAAAATCTATAATGCTAAAAAGATATGATATTGGAAAAATTTTAACCAATCAAAATTCATTCATAAATTTTGATAAATACCATCTTCCACATTTATGATATCGGTTGATTGGTGACAAATTTTTCCAATACCATGCCTTTCCAATATCATAGTCGATCTCATCCCCCTTTTTCCAACAGCCAAAGTTTTTCTTCCTCTTTACACCGCCACCAGAGTGATAACTATTCAGGTCATTGGACTATCCTTTCAACTGAGCTGCCATTGGAGGAAACATTTTAGGGACTGTAAATTCAATCAAAATATCTACGTGGAGCTGACGCAGCATTTTAAGGGGCTTTGTAAAAAAAAGGGACTATGTCTCAATCAACCACTGAAGATCAACAGATTCATTAGATTAGAGGTGCAAACTGACCGAACGGTTTATGATCCAATTTATCGGATTTAAATATCCCTATTAGATTTTTCAAATCGGATTATATCACAAATAGAATCAGTTTCAAAATGGATCGAATTTGAACCATCCCTTATCTCATTTGGAAAAAATCCGATCCAAATAAATTGCATATATAGTAACTTGATTTTTATACTATTTATGTTATTTTATGAAAAGACGTGCATATTATTATTTTGTTTTAAAATATATATGATAAAATGGTTATGATTTTGTAAATGTTTGGCATCATTCTGCAACTGCAGCATGGTTTTCTCAGAAAATGGTGCTGATAATGTGTGAGTTGGAATTGTTGCTGCCAACTAGAACGTTTCCTGGAACAATAACAACTTTTTCTGTTTGGTATCAATGTTTCAGGAAACGTTCTCTGCATTTCTACCTATTATCTAGTGCCACATCACTGCCCTGTTGGCAGCAATGAGCTGCAGCTCCAAGAAATGCCAAATTTGGCGTTACTCCAAGTCATGCCTTCCCAATTTCCAAGGTGTGGCTTGGAGCACCATTTTTCCTATGTGGCGCTGATGTGGCATCGTTGCTCCAAGAAACAGCAACGATGCCAAACAGCCGCTTTAAGGGATGTTTGGAACCGTAGCCGTTTTTCAAAAAAAAAAAAAACGGTAGCACGTCGAATCCACATAGGCGTTTCAACAAACACCCATATATATGAATATTTGGTTCATGAATTTATTGAAAAATCAGGCATGCCTCATAAATCAGGACCCCACTGATGCATCTTTGGCATTTCATGCATCAGTGAACCGTTTCCCCCAACGGTTGACTGATGTGTATCCTACGTGGTGCTTACCTGTCAACACATACATGAAAAACGATGATGAAAATCACCTTATCAAACAGCATAATATTATTCACTGCCTACATGAAAAACGTTTTTTTATGAAAAACGGGTCTTAAAAGCATAAATGTTTTTTCTTGAAAATCAATCCTACAAAGCACCCATGCTTCCAAACACCGTCTTATTAATTATATAGTTTTAGTGAGTGATGAAAACTCTTTAACCGAATTGGATACTTATTGGATGTCCCATAATATGATTTGAATCGAATTCAAATAAGGGAAGAGAATACGTCGCATTCAAATTAAAATCACATGCATTTTCTATTGGATTGGGTTCAGTCGTTCGGATATACCTCATTTTAAATCCGATCTGATTCATTTGCATTCCTACATGCATTAAATGGTTAGGATTATGATTTTTGAACTATTATTAATCCAGACCGACAGACCATGCAGCCCAGTTCAGAAAATAGGTCACCAAATGGATGGTTGAACCGTTGATTCAGAAACAGGTCACCAAAACAGTTCCGGTTCTGGGTCGGTCTTAAAACATTGGTTAAGATTTTGACAATACCATATACCAACTCCATCGATCGGAAGTGGGCAAAGACATGTGATGACGCAATTAGTGTGGTGGGTTTTGCCCATAGACCAGATCCGAAATGCCTTCAAAACTGAATCCGGATTTTCCATAAAGTACAAAGATAGATAGAGATATCATAAGAAACTTCAAAAGCAAAACCTAGGCAAACTAGTTTCCTAATCCTCTCCTTTTAAAGTCTTTAACTCTTTTAGTGGGAAAGCGATTGTTTCAGTCGTTTGATTGTCATCCTAAAATTCCACGTGGGTTCATAGAGTTAACATCTGTCCCCATAGAATGCGTCTCAAAAGCGCGCCTTACATACATATCTCAGCGTGCATTGAAAATATCTTTCATACTTTTCATCGGAAGATATTCTTATATACGGTTGAGATGTGTTGCAGGACGTTTTTGAGGCGCATTCTGTGAGGTAGATTTGAACTCCAGTTTATATTTGCCACGTTAGCACCGACGCAGCTCGGACGTAGACCTCCATATTTGATTCCGGTGCCGTTAGAACTCAAGGTTGTGGTCCCCTTGATGATCGACACGTGTAGCAGAAACGACGGGATCACGGTTCCGGGATTGATGAAAAATCGTTCCCTTCGTTGCTGCCAGTACGCTAGACGACAAAAGCTTTTGAATCGTCTATGATACTCGGAGTTGGAGTGGGGCCCACTCCTCGTCAGCAAATCATCAGATCCTATCTGTTTATCTCATTATCTCCCGCGGTCCAACGGCCGCCAGCTGTTTCTCTCATTTTTAATTCTCGGAATTGTCCTTTGTCGTCAATGTACAATTACCAAGGAATCGCACAGCTTTCGGGATAACACAAAGGAAATTATGGTCATTTCATTCTTCTTCGAATACAAGTCGGACCGATAGTCTGATAGAAGCGGTTTTTCCCGCCGTCCCATCGACTCGGTAGTTATAAAACGGATTCCGTCTTTGACGCGGAAAACGCAACTCGCTTTTTTACAGTGTTTCACACGGCACCGGCGAAAAAGGAGGGGAGGAAGAACCCTTTGTTGTGCGAGAGTTTCGGTCCATTGCCGGTACGTAACAACAGATTTTGTTTATTTTCCACTTTTAATTTCATATCTGGTTGAATTTCTCAAGGTTTTCCGGTAAGATCTGATGTGTAGCCTCGTCAAACCTGAGAGGGATCAACGATGACCAAAGAAGGGAATGGAAAGGCCGTAGAGGGGGATTTTGTTTGGTAATTAAAGAAAAATTAAAAGGTGGTTCATTGCTGTTCTTCTCAGGGAGGCTTGTCTTTCCCCAAATACCCTATTCATCTAATCTGAATTGTGGTGTTTGGGGTTATGTAGTATTCGATACCAGTCACAGTCGCCGATTTTCAATGAAGTTCGTGGTTTCGTTGGGTTAGAGTTGTAGCTTTCTTCTAAATTCAGTTGGGGTTTGTTTCGTTTCTCTTTTGGTTTGATGAATTTCTTTTTCCATATTATGGATTTCAGATAAATAGCAACATTAGGTAGAAGAAAAATAAAATTGAAGAAAATGGAGGCCCGACCGTGCAAGGGGTCCGAATATATTGAATCTGCTGAGAAAGATGAGTCACTGATGGAGCTAGGATTTGGGGATTTTGGGTATGTGTAGTTCAATTCATTGCCTTTTTTTTTCCTTAACTGGTGGAGCTGCGATTTCAATGTCTTGGGCTTTCTAAGAATAAAAATGGGTCGCATAGGTGCACGCATTACAGAAGGCGATGCAAGATTAGAGCCCCTTGTTGCAACGAGATCTTCGATTGCAGGCATTGCCACAACGAAGCAAAGGTGATATTTTCGTTTTTCTAATGAAATTATTTTTTAGTTTGCATTTTGATTTCAGTGTTTGATTTTAATTTTGAGGTGACCTTTGAACAGAACTCAATCGATGTTGATCCACTTGATAGGCATGAAATTCCTCGCCATGAAGTTAAAAAGGTGAGCTTTTTTCTTTTTCTTTTTCTTTTCGTCAGTTGTTTTGTTTTTTATTCTTCCACCAGTCAGCAATAAAGCCCTTCACTACCATTGGTGGAAGTGGGTAGGGTTCACAGGGAACCTCTCGTTTTTACCTTTTGCTTTGAAAATGTTGTCTGTGTCTCCCAAAAAGGTTGCCGACTTGTCAAAAGATACCAATCTATGGATAAGGTTTATCTGTATTCTAATATCTTTACTGAAATTCATATTAACTCATTTTCCTTCTTATTTTTCTTTTTACGCTCTCCATCTAAGGCACACATACAGACAAGACGATTTTATGGTCATTTTCTATTCTTGTGGCTGTTAATTTTTATTTATCAAAGAAACCTTGATGCATCGTTTTCTCTATGTTCTTTCATTTTCAGGTCATATGTTCATTGTGTGGCACAGAACAAGATGTAAGCCATCTAAAAATTTACTCATAAACAACTAGAAGAAAAAGAGAACGAAAATTAGGATTGGAGATTGATCTTCATGGTTCTTTATCATTCAGGTTCAACAAAAATGCATCAACTGTGGGGTTTGCATGGGGAAGTACTTCTGTGAGAAATGCAAGTTCTTTGATGATGATGTAAGCTTTTGGAAGAATTTCTCAACACAAATTAAATTCCTTCTCCTTGTTTATACATCTAAATAGTTTTCTTATAGAACAAATTGGTTTCTTATTCCAGGTCTCGAAGCACCAATATCACTGTGAAGAATGTGGGATCTGCAGGTTGAACACCTGGCCTGTTTTGTTTCTTTTTCCCACTTTCCTTTCTAATTCAATTTGAAAAGAATTGTAGGCACAAGTTTTCATGTAATTCATTTCCTTTGTATTTGTCTTTTCAGAACTGGGGGACAGGAAAACTTTTTCCACTGCAGTAAATGTGGTAAGTAATAACATGCTTCTTGTTCCAGCATTAGCTAATTGGGGTTCTTTCTGCAGTTTTCATGTACACCATTTGACACTGCAATTTCAAAATTCCTATTTCAGGATGCTGTTATTCAATATTGTTGAAGGATTCACACCGTTGTGTTGAGAGAGCAATGCACCATAACTGCCCTATCTGCTTTGAGGTAAAGATTGAAATAAGAAAGCAGGACCCATGTTGTTTTTCTTTCAATTGATTGCATTTATAGATTTTACCAGTTCTGTACAATAATGCCCCAGCCTTAAATCATGCTTACCTATTAGAAACGCTTGTGGTATTACCATTGTGCAAGGCACAGGTGCCAAGTAAAAATTGAGCAAGACATTGGAAAATAGAATTGGTGCCTTATTATTGAATGCATACTTTCTCATGGCACCTTATATAGGAGTTTGAAGTGCTAAAAGCTGACTTAAGCTTTGAAGATCATTAACATCATCATTGTCATCTAAGCCTTATCCTAACTATATGGGGTCAGCTACATGAATCCTGTTTCACCACTCTGTTCTGTTTAATGTCTGTCAGCATGGTTAAATCCATTAATTCGGAGGGGGTACCAGTAAAACGAGTTCACTTCTGCTGCAATGCTTTATTGTGATCCCCAATAAAACATAGATATATTACCCTTTTGTTTTAAACTCAAAAATCCAGAGTGATTTGTTTTCTATTTGATTGCTGGCATTTCTGTTGCAAGATGCTGCAACTGTGGTCATAAACATATTAAAGGAATAATATTCTAGAAGGCTTAGATCTTTGATAATCTGGAGGCTCAGTTCTTCCATTTCGTTGTGCAGTACATCTTTGATTCAACTAAAGACATCACTGTCTTGCCATGTGGACACACAATACATTTGGATTGTCTCAATCAGATGAAGCAGCACTTGCAGTAAGTATTTTTAAAGAGAAGATCAGTTAATCTTAACCATGCACAGCTTTCTAAAGAAAAAGAAGTGGCTCATATTGAATGCCACCTTGCAGGTTTTCATGCCCAGTGTGCTCAAGATCAATTTGTAACATGTCCAAAGTGTGGGAAATGCTCGATCAGGAGGTATATTGATCTTATGCCAACTTAATTTGTTATTGTCATATGCATGCTTATATCTCCAATAGCTACTATCTTTTTCTGACTGTTTTTTTTTTAAACACTGAACCCAGATTGCTTCAACGCCTATGCCTGAAATTTACCAAAACAAGATGGTAAGAGGATGACAATAACTTAAGAATGTGCATTGATATTGATGATATATGGTGATCAGTCCCTAAATTTTCTTCTTTCTGTTTTGTAAATAAACAGGTGTGGATCTTGTGCAATGATTGTGGATCATCATCCAATGTAAATTTCCACATTGTGGCACACAAGTGTTTAAGCTGCAAATCTTACAATACCAAGCAGATCCGTGGAGGTCCTGCTTCATGCTCATCAAGCATTTCAGAGATGGTTAGATAAAGGCTGCATTTGCATGATCAGACCTTCCCATTAGGACTGTTCTAAAGATGGGTTTGTCTTCCTTTGACATGGATGGAAAAGCCATGATGAGTGTATTTGAATGGGCAAATATGAAAACAGGGAGGAGAAAATGAAAGTGTCCATTCCTTCAACATTGGCTATTCTTTATTTCACTTGTCGGGGAAGGGGGCAGAATTTGTCTTCTCAAAATGGTAAATTAATATCACTACCGAGTCACCAGGATAGCATATATAGCTTACACCCATTCTTATGTCATTGTGCGTGGTTTAAAAGTGTTCCCATACTGATCCAGATAGTTCACATGAGTTGCTTATTAAATTCTGGGAGGGCAAAATCCAAGGGAATAGAGGTAAATTTAATTTATTTGGTTCACTAGAGTTCATGCTTGGGCTCAAAGGAAAGGACTGATGCAAAAGAAGAAACCAGAGGAGGCTATAGAGCCAAACAACACAAATGGCAGAGAACATCCTATATGATGTTGGTTATCTCATTTATTTCGGGAAGAACCTGTGCATAGTTTACATTTTACCTTCCAAATGCATTCTTTCTTAACCTTCATTTCTTAGTTCTCTATGTTTGTGAATGCTACTTCTAGCACCTCTTTTTTTTTTTGTATCAGACATGAACACAAGCTCAGCATGGGAGTTTGACTTCTTTATTATCCTGTTTTCAACAATGTTTGCAAGCCGTTGTTTACCCAGATGGTTGGAGTAAGTGCTTGATCTGTCACCTGGAGAAAATTATGGGTTTGTTTTACCTGAAACGGGCTAAAAGTTCCTAAAAACCCTCCGACTAGGTAATAAAACCAACCTGAATCTGAATGATCAAATTGGTGAATTCTTTTAACTTCAAACCATTCACATGTCATAGTTAGAACCAATTGATTGAAATTAAAATTATATTTATATATAAGGGTTCGACTATGATAAAGGAAAAAGTGAAAAACTTGTAACCAATTAACCAGTTTCATAAAATTGGTAATCAATCAGGTCAGGTGGACCAATGATCCATCACCTGGAGAGAAAATCAGGTCATCTGTTGGGTTTCAACATCACCTCGAGCCTTATACTACTTTGGTGAGCTGAGCTCGAGCCTCATACTATTCGGCTTGGCTTAGCTTGAATCCACCCCTAATTCTGTCACTGGGTCGGGGGGTCACGAAGTCCATGGATAGACCTAGAATCGGAACCAATTATTAGTCAAGATAATCGGGTCTAACGAGATTATACTTGACAATAACAATTTAAAATTTTATTTATAATAGTGTAAGTGACATTAAAATAGCAAATTGTTTATGTGTTGACAAATAAGTGGTTTTAACCAAAACGATCTCATATGCTATATAAGAAATTTTAAGGTCTCCTGCTTGTAATGGAGACTTGGGATCGAATCCTATCCGCACCTGGGTTGGGGGATGGGCTATCCCTGTTGTGTAGCCCTTGGAGCAGAAAAAAAATACCTGACATAATCCATTTTGTAGGTCATACCTGACCCATTGGCAACCTTATTCAGTCCTACAAAATCCAAGGTCCCATTTGATTTTTGATGAAGGAAGATTTGGCCCGACCTCGCAAATCACGTCACGTGGCAAAAAAGGCAAGCAGCTCGGCACTCAAGACAGCATACCGAGGGTACAAACGCCAAAGGGAAGGGACCAGCAAGAGGCCCAAGCTCCCTATTTAGTGCCCGAGCTCCCTACTTAGAGTTCGAACTCCCTACTTAGTGATCGGACTCCCTGCGAGGAGCCCGAACTCTCCCCTTTTGACCCCGAGTCACACAAAGCAGGGACCCGAACTGGCCTGCCTTATGACAGTTCGGGGCCTCCCCTTATCCGAACTCGAGACTTTGCCTCACGCACCGCTCCAGGCACTT